CTCTTTGACCTGTCTGTTTCCTCTCCACCTATCTTCTCCTCTATCCACTTTCTATCCGCCTCCCCCTCTCTCCCTATTTATTTCAGAACCCCCTTCCCCTCCCCGATTTCTGATGAAGGGTCTAGGCCCAAAACATCAGCCTTCCTGCTCCTATGATGCTGCTTGGCCTGCTGTGTTCATCCAGCTCTACACCGTGTTATCTCAGATTCTCCAGCATCTGCAGTTCCTACTATCTCTGATGGACTCTTGCATACATTGCTAGAATGTAATTTATAAAGTATTGCTGCAATTGCATAAAGCCTCACTGAGACTGCATCTGAAGTATCATGTACAGTTTTGATGAAGGATTTACTTGCCGCAGAGTGAATGCAGCAGAGGTTCACCATTCTAATTCCTGGCACAGCCAGATTGTCCTATGTGGAGAGCTTATGGAGACTGGATGTGTTTTCTCTAATGTCTAGAAGAATCAGAGGTGGTCTCATTGAAGCATTGAAAATTCTTACAGGGCTTAGACACTGTAGATGCAGAAAGGACATATCCCCTGGTTATAGGCTGGTACAGGAACAGGAGACAGAGTCACAGAATTAGGAGCAAGGACTGTGGTAAGGAGAGAAGTCTTCAGTCAGCAGGTGGTGAATTCTTGGAACTCTCTACTCCAGAGGGCTGTGGAAGTTCAGTTATTGAATATATTCAATACAGAGATCAACAGATTTGTAGATATCCCAGAAAGATTGGCATTGAAGTAAATGATGAGCTATGATCTGGAATCAAGATCCACTCCTGTTCCTAAATTCCTGTGTAATGAAGAGGTGTTATATGGTACTATATGGTTCTGCTACTCTCTCCTATAAAAATAGTATCTTGAAGGGTTAATCTGCTCAACATAATGCATATTAGAAATACAAGTGATATTCTTCTTTTATTGATAAGTTAGGAACTTTATCTGCTCACTACGTTGTAGTTTGCATCACAACCCTTGCTCGCTGTTAAAATGCAGCCCACTGCTGACAATGAGCTTACTGAAGCCTAGGCAATGTAAATGTCCCCAGACCCCTTTCAGTGCACCTGAATGAACCTCTGAACGATATATAGTCAATACCAAACAAGGGGAACAGTCTTTTCTTTGGCCAGTCGTGTAAGACAGGCATTTTTGATTACAGCCTGCTCATTATACATTTCTCCTGATTTTCATTCATATTGTAAGAAATGCTGGAAGAATGGCTTGTTCAAAATTGCCCAAGTTACACTATCAGCCAAAGTTAAAATGATCCCACAGTGTGGTCAGATATACACAGTTTTGAGTTGCAATCACTATTGTTTGAAGATGGTGTGTCTACGATTCAGGGTCAAACTTCAAACCTAATTAACAATAACAAATTGAACAAAGGAACTCACGCAAACATTGTTGGAGAATCTATTACTAATTTCCATACAACCTGGTTGTGGTCATCACCTTCTCCCACACTCATTCTGCAGAGGTGCAGAAATCTTCAATAACCTGGGTCATCATCTCTGAAAATACCGGATGTCGCACACTCCTATTTAATCCTTAACCTCCTCAAAATCAAACCTGAGAAGGGTTTAGTATTTGTGAAAGAAGCTTCATTATAATACCACCAGATTTGCAGATGGATGCCACAGGTTGCAGTGAGTTTAGGGCTGTTGCAATGGTTCAGTGACTCATTCGGAACAGGACAGACAAATATAGGAACAGGAGTAGGCCATTTAGCACATTGA